AAAGTCTATGCATTCTAGGCATGACAGCGTTCATTACTGTTTAACCCTTACAAGTCTGAAGGTGTTACTACTTTGCTATATTATTTAAAGGCAAACACATAGTTACATAAGCAATTTTGTCAAAGGGGAACTGTACTTTTTAAAAAATTCTGCATAATTAAATGGTTAATACCATTCAGAGTGGTTTGGTGTGAAATGCTCCATTCTAGAGAACGTTCACAGTGTTCACAGCGGGGGTGATAGGAACCAGGCGTCCACCTCTAAAAGCTCCCTCACAGAAAAGTATTACATGAAATGGTTGTGAATTCAGTGCCTGATGACTGAGACACTGTTTTATGTTCAAACTGTTTTTCAATGTCAGCCATTAATTTCATCAATAATGACAGGCAGTTTAAATGATGTTTACTTCATTAGCTGTTCACTTCTGAATAAAGCACAGATTCGCTTGGTTTTTAGAGAGGTCCTTAGAAGTAAAGTAATGAGGCATTAGGGAAGTAATCAGTAAAGTAATCTCATTACAGTCTAAGAGAAGTAATTAGAGATTTGCAATGCTCTAGTAACCCTGGACCATATTTGGTCCTCAAATTTTGCTTCTTTGGTTTAGCACTGAAGCTAAGAGGCTAACAAACAGTAGAAGTCAATAGTCACCCAAATTTGTTCTGTAAATGCATCCCCAAAACTTCTCTCAAACCACATACAGGCCTTCATTAAGGCCTCAAAGATATTTATTACATGAAGTGGTTATGAAAATGCTGTCTGATGACTGAGACACTGTTTTACTGCTATAAGTGTTATAAGCAAACCCCTAAACCAACACAGGCCCAGAATATTCACCTATTACAACGATCAATATCATTTGTAGAAAATGTGTATTGGCATTTTTGTATTTCTTCCTGATCAGAATGAACTCGGCCATGAAGTAGGATGTGGCTTAGGGCCCGCTGCTGTTCGGGAAACTGCCCTGATTGCAGGGACTTTTTTCAACAGTGTCATTTGTCTAAGCTGGACACTCTTTTGAACCTGCTTCACAAACATCTCTGGTTTAATGCGCCGTAATTAAAGCAGATGAACAACTTCTGGTAATTAAGAACGGTCTCGTTTCTCTGTTCCCATCATAATGCGTCATTAGTTTATCATTCCACTGTAATGGAATAATTATAAAGAAAGAGAGCTGGCGAACAGGAATGTGGCCACACAGCTTTTACGCCAAAGTCACACAAAGTGATTCTCATCACTGAGGAATTTGTTCATTCATACCTTCAGCTATGGTAAAACTCTGGAATTAAGCAAGAGCCCTGCATCCGTTTGACCTCATTACCACATAAGGCAGTGCGTCCAGGGCGGAGAGAACAGCACGTCAAGAAACTGTTCACTACGTATCGTCAGCGGGCGGGTATCATGAGGAGATAGTGGACAGGATATTAGATACCTGGTGGGGTACACTCAAGAAAATCATTCAATTCATCCACTCTTTTCCAATCAGTCGTATAAAGTTCAGATAGACAGACTTTGATACCTCAGCATAAAGTTCAGTAGTTGATGAAACAGTTTCAGTGCAGTTTAATTTGGTTTCATTGGAATTTAATCCCTTTCAGATCAGTTTTTACTCATTTTTATGTAAACCAATTACTTAAACACACCACAGTTCATTTATTTAATGTAGATAAAATTGATTTGTTATTCATTTCTAAATAAAGCACAGTTGGTACAGATTTGCTTAGTTTTTTTAGAGAGGACCTTAGAAGTAAAGTAATGAGTCATTAGTTTATTTTCCAGGATTTTCCTGATTACTTTTTTTCCAGGAAGTGATCAGTAAACTAATCTCATTACATTCTGAGAAAAGTAATTAGTGATTTGTGATGCTTTAGTAACCCTGACCAACATATTTGTTCTTCAAATTTTGCTTCTTTGGTTTAGCACTGGAGCTATTAGGCTAACAAACACTAGAAATCAATAGTCACCCAAATTTGTTCTGTAAATGTGTCCCCAAAACTTCTCTCAAACCACATACGGGCCTTTATAAAGGCCTCACAGACAGTTATGAATATGCTGCCTGATGCCTGAAACATTGTTTTATTTAAGTGCTTTAAGCAATCGCTTAGGACCTTCCGACAAACACAGACCCAGAATATTCACTTATTAATATGTTCAATATCATTTGTCCAACAACAGTATTGGTTCATTTTTTGAGTGGAGTGTTTGAGTAGTTTGAGCACTATAGCTTCTCTTGTAGATGCTCAGTGTAAGTGAAAGACTTAGGAAAACTCAAAATTTAGTTTCGCTTATTTACCCCAGATGATGTTGGTCAGCCAAGACTAGTGCTGGGGTCTTGTAATGTGGTAAAAAGAGATGCATTACAGCAATGTGATTACCTGGTCCTGTAACAAAGTAGTGTTCTTAAAATCACATTACAGTGACTGATTTAATAAGAATTACATTACTTGCAACAATATTAACCTCTTTCTGGAGGGCCCCCTAGTGGCTGGTAGAGCTGAAATCGGAATCGGACTCAGATATTTTTAATTAACACAATCCAATCTGTTCCTCGTAACACTGCTATCAGCTTACCTAGGACACTGTTGACTCTCTGTTTGTGACTGTGTTGAGCTGCTAGCGAGCAATGAGGGGTGAAAGGTAAAACAGTTCATACCCCTCAACTCCAGCTTTCATTATATTAAACAATCCTGTATAACTGACACAATAAACAAGCATTTAAACACAATAAGAACACTTGTTGAAATGTTGACTTGCTTGGTCATATTTAGAGGCCACGTTTAAAAATCATACACAGATATATTTCGGCCATATTACTGAAGAAAAAATTAAATAGGTGCAAAAAAGGTGCAAGGACCTCCAAAACAGGTGGAAATGCAACAGCTGACCACGGGGCTTGTGAGGACAGTGTGAGCGCAGGAAGCTCTGTATACTCAGAAAACACTCTGTTCGAATGAGTGGATCAGACACAGCAGTGCTGCTCAGTGTCACTGCTGGACTGAGAATAGTCCACCAACCAAAAACATCCAGCCAACAGCGTCCTGTGGGCAGCGTCCTGTGACCACTGATGAAGGACTAGAGGATGACCAACACAAACTGTGCAGCAGCAGATGAGCTATTGTCTCTGACTTTACATCTACAAGGTGAACTGACAAGGTAGGAGTGTCTAACAGAGTGGACAGTGAGTGGACACAGTGTTTAAAAACTCCAGCAGCACTGCTGTGTCTGATCCACTCACACCAGCGTAACACACACTAACACACCATCCTGTAGGGGTCCTGACCATTGAAGAACAGGGTAACAGATGTGCAGAGAAACAGATGGACTTCAGTCTGTAACTGTAGAACTACAGAGTGAAACTATATGGTCAGTGGAGCTGATAAAGTGGACTGTAAGTGTAGAAACAAGAAGGTGGTTTTAATTAAGTGGTTAACCTCACTATGTAGCTGAATTGTTCAAAGCTCATAACCTGGAATTTCAGACCTCAGACTGGGAAAAAACAAATGTATGTGTATGATGTCAAATCAACATGGATGTTCACAGCATCAGCAGTAATAAAAAGGCACAGTTTCTCGACTTTTAAATGAGGTTTGCTTTAGATGTGTCACCATACAGACACATTAGAATCTTACAGTTAAATCTATAACTTACCATAAAGTTCACTGTTTTAAGAAGGTAAAGAAATCATGAACGTTACCTTTAGCACACTTAGCAGTAGCATTAGCTGGCTAGCTTGTCTCCAGCAATACTCACTTTCATGGAGGCAACAGTGTTTTTTTCCCTCAAACATGCTGAGGTCAAAAATGGAGCGATTCCGAGCTCCTACTTTCCCTTCAGAGCCAGGCAGCATTAAACAACAGGGTGTTATGCTGAAATCTGACCTCCCTTCATGTTCATGTGTGTCACACAGGCACATGGATGCTGCAGATTACATTAGCAATTTCTGATTAACAGATTAACCGTTATTCATAAAAAGAAACAACAAATCATTAATGTAATCTAGTGTCTGTATGTCCATGTACATAAAGGGAAGTCAGGTCTAAAGGTGAAGTTACATAGTGAAGTTGTTCATTTTTATAGCTCACAGTTGATCCTGCTGTGCTCTGTACCACATCCATAAGTCTGTTCTACCTTAACGAAGACCTGGACGTGGTTTGAGCTGGTTGAGAGAAGATCTGGTGATGTGTTTTTTACAGAAAAGGTTTGGGTGACTATTGACTTCTAGTGTTTGCTAGCAGTGCAAGCCTTGTAGCTCCAGTTCTAATCTAAAGGAGTGAAATTCGGATTCCAGACATGTCTTGGCTGACCGATTACACCTGGGGTGAGTGAAGAATTATGTAACTTTGATTTTTCATGACTTTAAGTGAAGTGCTTAGAGTAAAACGACTGTTTTTAGAGCTTTGTCGGTGTTGTACCATCTCTGCTATTGGTTCTCTGATGATGTTCTAGCTGGTTCATCCCCATGTTCAGCTCATTTTGGCCCTCAAGGTAAAGTGATAGACTGAAGGCCTTAAGGAAGATCCCTATAGGCAGTCTGTAACTTGGTCTCTACTCCCCGGCCACTTTATCAGTAAAAATACCCCCCGGCCACTTTATCAGAAACCCCTTCACTGTAGCTCCGCCTGAGACTGTAGCTTATCTGGTCATGCAGTTTCTATAGACCTCCAGCCCTTCATCAATGGTCAGTTTCTGACCACAGAGCCAATCTTGTCTGAAAATGTGTGACACCGATGTCTGTAAGAACCCCAGAAACACACTGCCATCTCAGTGTCACTGCGGTGCTGAGAATGGACCACTGCCCAGATAACATCTGGACAACAGCAGTGCTGTGGCAGGAAACTGACCAGCGATGAACAGGGTACAGGGAGCTGAAGTGATGTCGGTGCTTTTGCATCCTCATCCTGCTCTAGAACCTGTTCTACTACATTCAGAACATGCTCTTTTCTCATCCATGATGTAGTTTGCAGAATGGCCACACCCTCTGCATTTAAAAGGCGCACAATAGCGCTGCTTCATTACTCTCAGCAAGCATCCACACCATTGGACACATCGCTGCCCACACCACTGCCCACCTACAAACACAGGTAAAGACAAAAACCCATAATAATATTTCAAACTGCTTTTTAATTCTTTTTTTTCATTTGTGGCTGGTAAAGGCTAAGATGCTGTTTTGCTCTAAGTTAGAGATTTTCATATATACTCGTATGTAAACCTACCAGTGAGTTTTACTTTATATACTTAATACATATTTTACATGTTAATTTTTTGAATATATATTTTATATACTAAAACCAATTTTGTTCCAAAAATGAATCATATTAAATGAATAGCAATATAACCCTTTTGATATATCAAAAATTTCAATTTTATATTGCAATTTTTACATTTATTTATATTTACTTTTATAATGTAAATGTACTTTAACATTTATATACCAACTGCTGTACATACAAGTTATCACTAAATATTTAGATTAAAAAGCAACAATTTTGTATAAAAAAATAGCTGTAATAAACTAATGTCAATGGCCTGGGTGCTTTTTAAAATTTTATTTGTATATTTATTAATTTTGTTATAGAAAATGTGTAAATAAGTGAACGCATCCTCTACAGAGAACACTTTCTGCACATTTTAATATGCAATTACTGTTTATTTGCTCAATTTAAACTACTGGGGGAAAAAAACAAAACATAAAATGTGGCCTGTGAGAAAGTTATGGCACATTTTATATGTTTTAAGCTTTTTTTAATTGAAAATTTTTGCAATTTCACATACAGTTGTACTTATTGTTGAATAATTACACAAAGTTAATACTGCTATATATATATATATATATATATATGTACATTTATCTATCTATATGTATTTGAAAATAACTCTGTGTATATGTTTTAGATATGGAGGCCAAACTGCTGGTATTTATTGCGATTGCATGCGCTGTGTCTCGCATCGAAGGCCAGACAGTCACACTATCGTCGGTAAGAAAAGAACACAGATTTTCATTTGCAAGCATGTCTCTGTTTATGAAAAAAAAGTCACCATCCCTTAGTGGTGTAAGGAACCCCAATGAAAATGACTGAACTTAACCTGACAGTGACAATGTCATTTTCATGTTCAGTCACCATTGTAAAGTCTCCACAAAGTAACAGATATGCTATTACTAATGCTAATGACCTTCTGTTCTGATTGACAGAGCATCAACATCACTCGCTCGGGTTGTGGAACCTCTAAGCTATGCTTTCCCACCTGTGACCCTGTAGCAAACTCCTCCACCTGCTACTTTGGCTCCTCTCAGTACCAGCCCAACACCACGCTGTACTTCGAGCTCGTTGGCCCCACCTCTGGCTACGTGGCGCTGGGCCTGGCCTCCGATCCAAACGTGGTATGCCACATGCCACACCCTGCTACACACTGCGCTCTTTCACCCACTCACTATCATCTCGCATCTGCTGATATATCACGAACGCAGAGACAATGCTACCAAACCTGTTCCCACCTTTTACTTCCTTCTCAAAATCCTCACTGAAGGAAAGATCCACAAGGCATTCTTTGAGCAATGCCATAGAAGAACCCCTTCTAGATGTGTAAGAACCCCTTTATGCAGGACTCTTAGAGGCCATTGCGCCTCTAAGAACAGAAATAGTTTGGATAGTTTGTATAACATGTTCCAAGAAAATATTTTTACAACAAACAGTGAGCGCCGCAAGAGAACATGTGCGATTTCTATATGCTACGCAGCCCCGTTATGTGAGTTTGCATGGTTTACTGCTTTGTGGCTGAGCTGTTGTTGCTTCACTTCCATTTCACAATAATAGCACTTACAGTTGTCTAGGGCAGCCCTAGCAGCACAGACATTTCAAGCTATGACAGTGCCACGTTTAAAGTCACTAAGCTCTTCAGCGTGCCAGTGTTTGTAAATGGAGATTGCATGGCTATGTTTTTGAGTTTACACACCTGTTAGCAATGGGTTTTTCATTCCATTCAGGACGAACCTTTTTATCTTGTCAGTTCATGTCTGTGGTCACATTGAGCACAATTCATCAATCATACTACTTTCCAAGACTAATTTCTTGTTTTCCTGTAATCGTTTATCAAAACCGGTGGGCAAGGGAAAGTAATATTTACCAATAATGTCGTATGTCACCTCCTTCTCCCACTAACCCCACCTGTCATGCAGAGAAAACACTCAGCTAGTTCAGAGACACTCCTTGATACCGTGTTTCACTCACTTTCTCTTTGCAGGGAGCCACCATTGTGTTCGTGTGCGCCAACAACAACACCAACAACGGCAGCATCTTCTTCTTCCAGACAGCCTCTAACACCTCAACTGGCTTGAATCTCACTACTGTGGTAAGGAACCCGATATCTGACTGCAGCACATCTTATAGCTGCCTGCAGTTGAAGTGCATTTGACTCAGTTTCTCTCTCTTTCTCTGCTAGAACACTGTATACTCAGTCCAGGGTGCAGTGGCCATCAACCAAAGCCTGAACCAGAGCCTTGTCAAGTGTACCTTCAACACCTCCAGCAGCCTAAACGTCTCGACCTCGAGCACGAGCACGAGCAAAGCTTCCGCAACCATCAATTACTATGTCACCATCTTCAGCGGCATCGTTAGCGGTCAGCCTTTATGCCTCAGTAATTTAGCATAAAAGGGCCCATAAAAAACACAAAACAACAAGCTTTGTTTTGCATTGTTTCTGTGATGTCACAAAATCGAACACATGTCTGAATATAGTTTATATATAACACATAGTCTGAATATAGGCAGTTTAGCCCCACCCATTCACGCCGAAGCTGGAAGTTAAGGAGTGCTTTAGCCTGCTTTGTGAACAAGGCTCCATACAGGGCAGCCAATCAGAACAGAGCTTGTTTACATATATCAGGCTTAGAGGTGCAATAACAAAAGGAATAAAGAGAAGCTGAGAAACAAAAAACATCTGGAACATAAAACCACTGGCCGGCCAGCGGGTTTGCACTGGTGCGGCTAGAGTTTTAAACACTGTGTCCGCTTGCTGTCCACTCTACTAGACACTCCTACCTCGTTGGTCCACCTTGTAGATGTAAAGTCAGAGACAATAGCTCATCTGCTGCTGCACAGCTTGTGTTGGTCATCCTCTAGTCCTTCATCAGTGGTCACAGGACGCTGCCCACAGGACGCTGTTGGCTGGATATTTTTGGTTGGTGGACTATTCTCAGTCCAGCAGTGACACTGAGGTGTTTAAAAACTCCAGCAGCACTGCTGTGTCTGATCCACTCAGACCAGCGCAACACACACTAACACACCACGTCAGTGTTACTGCAGTGCTGAGAATGATCCACCACCCAAATAATACCTGCTCTGTGGGGGTCCTGTGGGGGTCCTGACCACTGAAGAACAGGGTAACAAAGTATCAGAGAAACAGATGGACTACAGTCTGTAACTGCAGAACTACAGAGTGAAACTATACGGTCAGTGGAGCTGATAATATGGACAGTGAGTGTAGAAACAACAAAAATAAAACGCAAATTAATGAGTTAATTAATTAAAATAAATGAATAAATAAATAAAACTGGGCCCTTTAACAATCTCAAAATGTGAAGTGCTGCTTTTGGTCTTTTATGCTGAAGTCTTTCCGCTGCATTTCCACAGGAACCACCCTGGGTTTTCCTACTTCAGTGTATTACTCTGGGAAAGCACTGAATCTGGCTGATCCTACCAGCAACACCAACACCACCAACTCCACCTCCAGCGCCACTGTTGCAGCCACGGTGTCCGGCAGCACAGGCGGTAGCGACTCTCTCACCAACCCCGTGGCTCATGGTAAACACGCATTCCGCATTACTTTCACATCACAGCGAAGGGAGGCGACTTTGGTTTTGCCTCTCTTTCATTTCTGTGGGGGTTTGGGGGATGGCAGCATTTTTCCCAAGTTTGTGCAAATGAGAATCAAGTTTCACCGGGCGGCAGATTGTTGTAATCAGAATATTACTTTTTTTTCTTACCTGCATTTCATCGGAGCACGTAATTAGCCTATGACCCTGGAACTTTCTTACATTTTAGCTACATGACTACAAAGCCGCGAGGTAAGCGTTTTGGTTCGCTGCAATGTTAATGTAGCATTAGGCCAGAAACATACTTCACACAAACGCAAACATAGTGCAAAAGCACAGTTTCGCCAGATTTTGCGTTCTAAAATGTGTCACAATACAATATAAAAGTGCAAGCTGCATTCCGAGCTTTACCACATAACGACAGCCAAGCCCGGCAAAGCTGTCTCGTACAGGTGGTAGGCTGGTGGGCTTTCTCCTGGTCAACAGTCATAGTAGACCAGCAGTCGGACGATCATCACTTCTCCAAGCCGATAGAACAGGTAAAGCAGCTCACTGTGCACAAACCAGTGAATTAATATTAATCTGTATTGTGCCAAACCTGCGTCACCAAAGAAAGCTAAACCACCAGAAAATTCGGCTCACTAACACCACTGAGGCAAGGTTAGAGATAAAGACTCAAATCTGAGCGAGTGAAATCAAGCGACAGCAGGACTGAATGGCTCTGGTTGTAAGCAGTTTCTGTTCTGCCTCGCCGTTCAGACATGGAGGCGTTGAGGATAGTGGAGGAAAGGGGCGGGGCTTTGAAGGTTTCAGTGAGGCAAGGGAGCTATTACAATAGTAGATAAAAATATTGTGGCATATAGAGGCCACTCTCGACCAGCCTGAACAGCAGGAAGGCCATCTATGGCCACATACTCTCTCTTCACGGTGACCAGCCAGCCCACATTAACCGAACCCAAGCCCTTAAACTGAAGAACAACATTAATAACATTAAACAACCCCCTAAAATCCCAGGCTTATTACGTAGAAAGGCTTATTACTGAGTAACTACAGGGATTTCAATGCAAAGCGATGGAGCTATTCTAAGGTTATAGAAGTGTGTAATAATACTACCGGTGGGCCCATGGCTAATTAAGGGGTTAATGGCCTATTTTTTGGGGGGGGAGGGGTCACGGTGTTCACACAGCACAGATTTGCATACGACACCTCCCTTCTGGAACATGGAGGACGCGGCAGCCTCCACAACACTTAACTATTTGTTATTCAACATTGATTTTTTTTTATTTTTGATTTTAAGAGTACTTTAAATATAGGTCAAGTTGGGTTTACAAATCAACTGACAGTGCCTTTAAGTGCTAATCATCTCGCTCTCTCTCTCTGTGTCTCTCTCACAGCGCTGGCCATCCTGCTGAGTGCTATGGGTCTCCTCCTCCTGTCTTAAAGGACCTCCTGACTTCACCATTATGAAGATGTTTCTCAGGGTTTATGAGCTGCGTATGAAGTACACAGGCTAACCGAGACAAAGGCAGCCCAACACGGCTGCCTGTGTCTCTGTGTGTGTGTTAGGTAGAGTGATTGTGTATGTATGGAAGTATGTATGTACAGTTGCATAGAAAAGTTTGGGCGCCTCGGTCAAATTCCATGTTTTTGTTGATTTTCTAAGTGTGAATGAGTTAACGAATGCTTTACAGAGCCCACACCTCTGCACAGTTTAATACATAATTACTGTTTATATGCTGAATTTAACATATCAGAGAAAAAATGCGGAGTTCGCAGATGGTATGGCGGTATTTTTTATGTTAAACTCAGCAAGTAAATAGAAATCATGCAGTAAAATTGGCATTTAAATATGTTCCACATTTTCACTTCGGAATTCAGCCAAATGTAATTTGACCGGGGGTGTTCAGACTTTTGCACATGACCACCTGGGTGCATGTGAACATGGACACACTGGAGGAATGTTATGAAGCCATGGTGAATGGGCCGAACATCATATCGCTCCGCTCGTCCTCACTTATTTGTTTATTATTGTAGTGACCTCAGAAAGGGCCTTGACCCGTTCCAGAATTTGCCTTTTTACTTTCAGCTGCTTTGCATCAGTGTTGCACTCGTGTTTGTCTGTGGTGCACATGCAGTTATTACAAAAGAAGGTTATCTTTTTTCTTCCTCTTGTTAATATAAAGACGTCTTTTATGAAAAGATGTTCTGCTGTAAACACTGTATTTTTACCTGTATCGTTTTGATCAGACAAGATTACTGATTAAAGTTTATTTTACATAAGACTTTCCTGCTGTTCTCTCATTTATCCCGTTTACTGTCTGCATTGATACACTGAGCCTACGTTCACATTCAAAGCCTCACTGCTTAAATCCGATTTTTTGCTAAAATCCGATCTTTCTGACACGATGGTTCACACTCGTTTGGGTAAGTGACTCAAATCTGTCATTAATGTGACGTCATTAATAATTAACTCTGATCAGTTCTCAGGGATTGAAGTGACTTGCATTCAGATCACATCATGATTGAGATTTATTACACTAAACAAACATTACTGCCACAAGTAAGCAAAGCAAGCAGACAAAACCATGTTTTTCCATGCTTACTCACCCAGGACCAGTCCAGTTGTGTCACAGATTTCCCTGAAAAAAATCAAGAAAATTCTTCCATCTAATTCAAGCAAGCATGCAAAATTTCAAAGCCGTGCTCTAATTCGTTTTTTAGTTATCATTTTTTGAAATTTGTCCCAAAAGGTGTTAAATCACCCCTTAAGTATTGACTTTAGCTGCTTATTATTAACTTGTTAAACAATATTTAATTTTAAATTAAGGACATTTTTTTTTACATCAGTTATGCCAATGTTCATTTTGAAATTTTACATCTCTATTAGTTTGCATTTTTTTAGGTTGCATTCCTAAATTTCAAATCTATGAATTATTACTTTCTGCATACATTATTTGAAATAACACTATGACACTTCACAACCAAAAAAAGTCTGTATTGACAGCCTATTTTGAACCTATATTTTCTCAAAAAGGACTAATCCTATTTCCTCTCAACATTTTCCTTTAAAATTACCTGCATTTATGTATAAAACTGTCTTAAAATATCGTCTCCTCTTCATCTAAGTTACAACAAAGAACACCAATCAGTTTGACCCCCTAAATGGCCATAGGCCCACCTGCAATCCCAAAGTTTTATTACATGCTTCTATAATCTAAGAATAGCTCAGCCAGTTTGCATTGAAGTCCCTGTAGTTGCTGAATAATAAGCCTTTGTATGTAATAAGACTGGGATTTTAAAGGGTGAAACAAAAATAATGTAAATGGCCAAAATGGCTGGCAGGCCCGAAGTTTTATTACACACTTCTCTAACCTAAGAATAGCTCAGGCAGTTTGCATTAAAGTCTGGCCTAAGCTTGGTTATGCTGATCTAGTGCTGGTCTGGTGCTGATCATGCTGGTTGACCAGTATACCAGCATCAAAACACAACATATGCTGGTTTTGCTGGTGCCCAGCCATATGCTGTCTATTCTAGCAGGTCAGCACTCAAAACTGGTAACACAGGGTCACAAAACAAACACCCACACCGAAACAAGTCAAGTTTCGACTGTCTTATATTCTCCATGAGGAAGTACTGATAAACGGAATGCAGTATTTCCAATCACAGTGAGGAAAACAAACACAGAGCAGGCATTTACACACTCACACACTTCAGGGAACAGTTTCTGTTCAGTTCATTAGATACAAATTCATTTTTCTTCATAAGGTACTGAACGAAATCACGGCACTGTCCTCATAAACTGAGTCGGAAAAAGAAAAGGACTCTGCATGTGAATTTAATGACCTGCACATTTGAAGCGTGCAGGACTTTTGTAATCTTGTGTGTGCAAACACTCATGAACACGCACTGTGGTCACATTCTCTGGGTACAGTACATTATACAGGCTGATTATACGTAAAAAAAAAGGACATTTCATTTATTTTGAGCTGAAAAACTGTGTACAAATACACACACACACATCTTCTGAAACCGCTTATCCTTCTGGGTCGCAGGGGGAGCTGGATCTCAATGGTCAATGGGCGGAAGGCAGGATACACCCTGGACAGGTCGCCAGTCTGTGTACAAATAGTTCTACAAACTATTTGTACACAGACAGAAATGTATATTTCTATTTCTATTTCACAACTGTTTTGAAACAACAACACACACATACTAACTCTCAAAATCATCAAAAACATAACCATAATCCACTGAAATTATATTTTCTAAGCTGTACTGACTCCACACACCCCGTCTCGTCTCCAGGACTTTTATTTTATTGTTCTGTTTTAAAAAAGGTACAAATACGAACTTTTCACCTGTAAAAACGTATTTAAGGTTCACAATCAGACCTTAAAACCACTGTTGTACCTTTGAGGGTGCATTTACACTGTACATTGGTTGGAATAGTTAAAAAAAAATTAAATATTTTTGTTTAAAATGTTGTTGTGTGTAAAGTCTTGTTTTGCAGAAAAAAACTTGATGCAGAAAAATATATGAATTAAATGCAAAAAATGGACTATTCTAGACCCTTTTGTAACATCCAGCTGGACTAATCTAGATCCTTTCCAATATCCACCTGGACTAATCTAGACTCTTTTAAACATCCACCTGGACTAATCTAAACCCTTTCCAACATCCACCTGGACTAATCTAGACCCTTTCCAACATCCACCTGGATTAATCTAGACCATCTCCAACATCCACCTGGACTAATCTAGACCCTTTTTTCAACATCCAACTGGACTAATCTAGACCCTTTCCAACATCCACCTGGACTAATCTAGACCCTTTCCAACATCCACCTGGATTAATCTAGACCATCTCCAACATCCACCTGGACTAATCTAGACCCTTTTTTCAACATCCACCTGGACTAATCTAGACCCTTTTATCAACATCCAGCTGGACTAATCTAGACCCTTTCCAATATCCACGTGGATTAATCTGGACTCTTTCCAACATCCACCAGGACTAATCTAGACCTTTTCCAACATCCACCTGGACTAATCTAGACCCTCTCCAGCATCCACCAGGACTAATCAAGACCTTTTCCAACATCCACCTGGATTAATCTAGACCCTTTTTTCAACATCCAGCTGGACTAATCTGGACCCTTTCCAACATCCACCTGGACAAATCTAGAACCTTTCCAACATCCACCATAGACTGATCACACAGCCCTTTACCATCACTGCAAACCTGCATGTTAGGTTCTTTACTGGTTTGAATGCTGCTATGAGATCTCAGTCTTTCTGTACAGTTTAAAGTGACAGTGTTCGCACTACTTCCTTCACCACTCCCTGCTCTGATGCCCATTCATGCGTATATATGTATGTGTATGTATGCAGGGTTGGGCAAATACTTTGGAAAAAGTAGAGATGACTGAAAAGTAAAGACACTGTGCTAAATGTTTATCAGTCTACTCAGGCTTTAGCAGAGCTCAGTCACACTGAGATTAATAACTGATCACATTGATTTATCAGTCTACTCAGGCTTTAGCAGAGCTCAGTCACACTGAGATTAATAACTGATCACATTGATTTATCAGTCTACTCAGGCTTTAGCAGAGCTCAGTCACACTGAGATTAATAACTGATCACATTGATTTATCAGTCAACTCAGGCTTTAGCAGAGCTCAGTAATGCTGAGATTAATAACTGATCACATTGATTTATCAGTCTACTCAGGCTTTAGCAGAGCTCAGTAACACAGAGATTAATAACTGATCACATTGATTTATCAGTCTACTCAGGCTTTAGCAGAGCTCAGTAACACTGATTAATAACTGATCACATTGATTTATCAGTCTACTCAGGCTTTAGCAGAGCTCAGTAACGCTGAGATTAATAACTGATCACATTGATTTATCAGTCAACTCAGGCTTTAGCAGAGCTCAGTAACACTGATTAATAACTGATCACATTGATTTATCAGTCAACTCAGGCTTTAGCAGAGCTCAGTAACACAGAGATTAATAACTGATCACATTGATTTATCAGTCTACTCAGGCTTTAGCAGAGCTCAGTAACACTGATTAATAACTGATCACATTGATTTATCAGTCTACTCAGGCTTTAGCAGAGCTCAGTAACACAGAGATTAATAACTGATCACATTGATTTATCAGTCTACTCAGGCTTTAGCAGAGCTCAGTAACACAGAGATTAATAACTGATCACATTGATTTATCAGTCTACTCAGGCTTTAGCAGAGCTCAGTAACACTGAGATTAATAACTGATCACATTGATTTATCAGTCTACTCAGGCTTTAGCAGAGCTCAGTAACACTGAGATTAATAACTGATCATCACATTGATTTATCAGTCTACTCAGGCTTTAGCAGAGCTCAGTTACACTGAGATTAATAACTGATCACATTGATTTATCAGTCTACTCAGGCTTTAGCAGAGCTCAGTAACACTGAGATTAATAACTGATCACATTGATTTATCAGTCTACTCAGGCTTTAGCAGAGCTCAGTAACACTGAGATTAATAACTGATCATCACATTGATTTATCAGTCTACTCAGGCTTTAGCAGAGCTCAGTCACACTGATTAATAACTGATCACATTGATTTATTAGTCTACTCAGGCTTTAGCAGAGCTCAGTAACACTGATTAATAACTGATCACATTGATTTATCAGTCTACTCAGGCTTTATCAGGATTGTCACTGTTTGTAAAGAAGCTGTTAATTGAAGTCCTTGTCAGAGTTCGTCTACATGCTGTGCACTGATTCGAAAATAGCTACTAAACAAGCATTGATTATGTTTCTTTCAGTAATTGTAGCATTATTTATTTAGTGGGTAAGCGTTTTAAAACTATTCTCCAAAATTTTTTTGCCTGTTAATATTTATTAATGTATTTATTATATTTATTGTTATTATAGTTGTTTATGTGCAGTCCTGTGTAATGTTCTGCTGTTTTGTGTTTGGGGCTTGAAGAACCACATTTCATCCCTAACAGTAAAACTTTTTTTTACATATTTTACAGTCAAACTGCTATCAGTGTAAAATGAAACGATGCACACTGGTCTTTGAGGAAGGATCAGGGCCGTGCATGAGTCAGCGCTCCTCTGCAGGACGGAGATGGAGCGAGGGATAGCGCTGTGGGCGTGGCAGTATCTCACTGTGTGCTCACGCAGAGTTTTTCCTTTTCACATGGGAGTAAATGTGTTTAAGGGGGGTCAAACAGGATAGACTCGTCAGGCTGGGTCGTGTGGAGCGTGATCAGATCC